ATCATATGTTGTCCAAAGAAGCACGTCCAGATTACGGAGACTGCTGTTGACTCAGAGAGCAAGGCACCATGGGTAGCTATGCTTCCGGTGTCCGCGGAGTCCAAAACTCCGCAGCAGGTGGTTAGAGGGGTTCATGTCGGCTGCATCCCATAAGACACTTCTTGAATCCCTCCCATGCAAGGTAAAGGGGACACAGTGTGCATCCCTCCCATGCAGACTCCAGAGCACTGTGACCATATAGACCAGTGAACTGGAAAGCTTTGTCATGCTCACGAGTGTCGTGGTGTGGCTCATGGTGCTGTACTTCGAAAGCCTACGCGGGGGTGGCCAACCCATTACAGGCAAAGAGCCAAAATAGTAGTGCATATAGCACAAAGAGCTGGGGAGGAAAAGTTCTCGAGGAAAAAAAAAAAGGACTGCCTCTTTAAGAAATGCGATTAAAGGCTTTTTGGCCACATCAGTCTCCCTCCGGCCTCTGCCATCTTGGAGACGTCATTTTGAATGATCATGCAAGGTGTGCAGGGGTGGCTTCATGAACCGCACTTTTTTGGGGGGAACATGCTCTTTTTTATCATGTCTCAAAACAGAGATGGTCTATGAACATTTTTTGATTGGCCTGGACTGAAACAAGTTGAGAGCCAGTGACCTAAGCCAATGCCCTAGACCCTGCACCCGGCTGCCTAATGTTAGAGACAGTGACAAAGAAAGCAACTCATGTCTGCCTTCTATCCTGCCAAATTCCCAGGACAAGTACTCTGGCAAGATGAATTGAAGTGGCTGGAGCACAAGGAATAGCAGGTGACACAAAACAGAACGAGGAAGGCAAAGTTACAGGAGTGGATTTCACCTATCTCTTGGGCAATTATGTACTAAATGTTGATTTTCTGCAACTTAAATATTGTTCTAAACAATAAAATGTCTCTCCCTATTTAAACATCCCCACCCTAAACTGAGGTGCAATAACACGGAAGAGGGAAGGCGTTGGACTGGAAACACGTCCAAAGAGGGGCAATATCAGACTGAACCCTACCAGGTCTGCCATCTCGGATGCCTGTGACCCAGCAGCTTTCCCGCCGAATGGGATGGGCAGAGCACTGTGCGTGAGCTGGGATCCCAGATCTTCTTGGGTGCCCGAGCGGCTCTTTTCAGAGCAAAGGAGTGGAGGTGGACAGAACGGTCCTCAGAGACCTGCCCGGCAAGTACATCAGCCATGCAGGTGCAGCTGTGCTAGTGCCAGGATATGAGAGAGACACGGTGGGTCAATATAAGATTGCATTTGGTTTGTACCCACAGTAGCAGATTATGAGCCTTTTATCACACTTTTGCACAAAAGGGCCAGTGTAGACAGCTGAGATTTGTTTTCCACAAAAAAGCCCCAATCGCGAAAATGGCGAAAATTGGGGATTTTTTGTGCAAAAGCGCGTCTAAATTGGCACGGAGGCTTTTCTGCAAAAAGTGCTTTTGCGGAAAAGCGTCCGTGCCAATCTAGATGTGCTTTTCCGAAAATGCTTTTAACGGAAAACTTTTCCATTAAAAGCATTTCTGGAAAATCATGCCAGTCTAGACGTAGCCTAAGGGTATGTCTACACTACAGCACTAATTTTAACTAACTTAATTCGAATTAGTTAATTCGAACTAAGCTAATTCGAACTAGTGCACCTAGACCTAAAAACTAATTCAAATTAGCGTTTTGCTAATTCAAACTAGCATGTCCACATTGAGTGGACCCTGAACCAAAGTTAAGGCTGGCCGGAAGCAGTGTTAGCAGGGCATCAGGTTAGGACTTAGAGCATGGAGCTGCTGCCTCAGGCTAGCCGAGGGCTGTGCTTAAAGGGACCCGAGCCCTACCCCGGACAGACAGTTCTCAGGGTTTCTGGCTTGCTTGTCTACCTCGATGAGGGACAGCAAAGCAGTCCTGTCTTGGAGTGCCCTGAGTGCCCGCACTCAGCACATCACAGCACACAGCCATCAGCCCAGCTGCACTAGCCACAGGCTGCCATCCGGGAGGGGGTGTCAATTGGGGGGCTGTCAGGATCCAGGAGGCCCTGCAGGAAAGCTTCCACCCTGAGGAGCAAACAGAGCTACCCCAGTCCTCCCCATCAGGCGCTTGGCCCCATTCCTCCCTCACCTCCTTCCATTTACCCCTCCCTAGCCCCCCTTCCTGATGTAAAAAATAAAGGACACATGTGTTCACAAATAGAAACTCTCTTTATTGAACAAAACTGGGGAGGGGGGGGATTAACCTCTGGAGAGACTGGGAAAAGGAGGTGGGAGAGGGGAAGACAGAGGGTGGGAGAGGGGAGAGAGAAACCTGGGAGGAGAGAGCTGGAAGGGGGAAGCCAGGGGAAGAAGGAGGAGGGGAAGTATCAAACTATGGTACGCCGTATCTTCAGTACAGTGTACAGATGTGATCTCCTCACCCCAGAAAAGCTATTTTGGTCCTGGAAAGGGTTCCGAAAAGGGCAACTAAAATGATCAGGGGTTTGGAACAGGTCCCATATGAAGAGAGGCTAAAGAGACTGGGACTTCTCAGCTTAGAAAAGAGGAGACTGAGAGGGGATATGATAGAGAGGAGGAAAAAGGAGGAGGGGAAGTTTAAAACTATGATATGCCATACCTTCAGTACAGTGTACAGACGTGGTCTCCTCACCTCAAAAAAGACGTTTTGGCCTTGGAAAGGGTTTAGAAAAGGGCAACTAAAATGATTAGGGGTTTAGAACAGATCCCATAGGAAGAGAGGCTAAAGAGACTGGGACTTTTCAGCTTAGAAAAGAGAAGACTGAGGGGGGATATGATAGAGGTCTATAAAATCATGAGTGGTGTGGAGAGGGTGCATAAAGAAAAGTTCTTCATTAGTTCCCATAATAGAAGGACTAGAGGACACCAAATGAAATGAATGGGTAGCAGGCTTCAAACTAATAACAGAAAGTTCTTCTTCACAAAGCAAATAGTCAACCTGTGGAACTCCTTGCCACAGGAAGCTGTGAAGGCTAGGACTATAACAGAGTTTAAAGAGAAGTTAGATAAAGTCATGGAGGTTGGGTCCATGGAGTGCTACTAGCCAGGGGATAGGAACGGCGTCCCTGGCCTCTGTTTGTAGAAGGCTGGAGATGGATGGCATGAGACAAATGGCTTGGTCATTGTCTTCGGTCCATCCCCTCCAGGGTAGCTGGTGTTGGCCGCTGTCGGCAGACAGGCTACTGG